GGCAGATATTGTATATTTTAATTGTGTGTTATCTGCAAAAGATTACTTTTATTAACAACACTTCATAGGGTCAAGTTTCCCTCTGCTCACTGTTCTTACGTTCATACTCCCTGAGGAGCAATTAAATCATCGCTCACAGGACTGGCACTTAAGGTGTGAGGGCACATTGACCCATTTATGTGAAAACAATATTAATATGGTTCTTCACTTTGTGGGTAAAGTCACACATCAGTGGCACCAGGCCCTTCGCTTTACTACTAACTCTAGATAGAGCATCAAGGAGTCAAATGCAACATTCAGTCTTTAGAGGTCACAAACTCTAACACTATCGAGGGATCTCTTACAAGGTTAAGTTCAAACTTCTGCTGCCAAATCTTTGGCTTAGGTGTTTAACAGACCCCACTACAGTGTACACAGCGTCTAAGCTCAAAACGGCGGGTCAGTGTTGAGATTAGTTGCTCACACACACAAAGCTAGCAGGTTTGTTATAAATGGTAGCAGCAATAGCAAAGACTTTGATAAAGGGCTTAACGGCTATGCCGGCGTAAAAATAGATTAGCTATATCTGTGCTAATGGCAGTCGCTGGTGCCTTTCAAAACACACATAGCTACACACTCACGTCTTTTATAGTTTTTTTTTCTTTTCACTTAAGTATAAAGTCATACCCTTCAGAAATCAGGTCACCTTTTTTTAGACCAAATGATTAAAGGACAAGCTATAAAAAAACTCAAACTGTAAAATCTTTTTCTTTTTTTGGCTAACTCGAGTACACTGGACAATTCTTTCTTCTTTTAATTTGGGGATTTTTAACACTTTTTTTAAGGGCATTGAAGAGGTTACAATCTCTGTCCACACACACACTTGTGACTTGTGTTTTGGTGCTGACTTTTTAAGTTTGAAACTATTATGCATTGTCTGGTGGGTAGTGTATACATTTGCAACATTTACGTCCATGCTGTTTTTTTCAAGTACGATATTTGGAAAAACGTATTTTATTTTTTCTGTGATGTATATTGCGATGCGATATAAAAACAAAGGATTTTTCAACGGATGACTAGAATAGCTAGAAAGAACAAATCAATTTTAGGGCTGTCAAACGATTAATCCAAAATAAAAGTTTGCGTTTACATAATATATGTGGGTGCACTGTCTATAATTATTTTATATATATAAATACACACACATGCTTATATATATTTAAGATTTTCATGTATATACTGTGTAAAGATTTATATATAATTTATATTATTATATATAAATACAAATATGTTAAATATAAGTAATATTTGTTTCTTAAATATACATGCATGTGTGTTTATTTCTATATTAACAAAATAATTATACACAGTACACCCACATATATTATATATTGTAAACACAATCTTTTATTTTGGATGCGATTAATCGCGATTAATCGTTTGACTTGACAGCCCTAAGCGTTTTACAATAATAGAGTGATTTTCTTCTTCATAGAAATCAAAAATAATAAAGTTTTGAATCTGAAGACATTTGATTGTGAACCATCCTTATAGGGCGAAACAATTTGGAAAAAAAAAACCTTCTGTTTACTCTTTACAAGCACAAACTCAAGCCTCTTTGGTGAACAGAGCCTAATTGAGTTTCGTTGGCTATTTTCCCACTGTTGCGTTCACTTAACCAGCTTTTCTTGCTAGCAGAATCATAAACCCATTTGTTGAGAATTCTGTCCACCATTTTTAATTACAGTACAGCTCCCACGACAAAAGTGTCTCTCACCTGTGTTAGAACCTTGCTTTGTTTTTATCTGTTCCTGACTGTCTCTGAGCTGTTGACCCTCTTGAGTGCTCAGGTGCTCTGTGGCTCAGCGACACTGGCAGTTATAAAGAGAGAGAGGAGGAAATCTAATGGCCTGTGAGAAAGATAGGTTATGAGAGAATGAAGGAAGAAAAACAGCAGCTATACAGGGAGAGAGAGAGAGAGAGAGAGGCCTCGCTGACGTTTCCCTGCTGCATATGCAGCTGATAGTATCTGGCAGGGCCTGGCTCTCTGGGGAGCCCTGTAATCTGTTCCATCAGCGTTTACTACCGAACAAATTAACTAAGACAAGCACCGCCGCCTGAGCCAGCAGAATTCTTCCATTAGGAAAATTATAAAGCTATTATGGGGAACAATTTGGTCCTTTATATAAACGACTCTCATTGGAGGGCTACAGGGCTTCCTTGAACTACTCCAGGGGGGCTGGATGGAGTACCCTTGGGGCATTACCACTATTGATACCAATAGGAAAGAAAAATTGCGCTCTTTAATATCTCAAACATTTCTCTGCGACGGCAGTAAGATTAAATAGTTTATTAAGTCTCTGAGAAGAAAAGACCCCAGGAAACTTTCTTAAATATAGTATCTTAACATTTCAATTATTTTCCCCAAGTTATTTTTGGAGAAACGTCACTGAAGAACCTAAGCTTTGAAAGCGCAACTTGATTCATATTTGTTGAAAGTTTGGTTGCTCAACCTTAAAAATGGTGCAAGGCAAGAATATATATCATGATTATTACATTCACAATTTCAAATCAGTTGACATTTTGAATTCAACTCGTTTTTTTGTCAATAGTAGATTATTTTCATTGAAACAAACAAATTCACAAATGCTTTCCTAAGTTGGAAGCATAAGCTGTATTATTATTCATATTTCCCGTAATTTTGGCTGAACGAGTTGCATTATGGTGTAAGACGCGAATATATATATCATGATTATTATGGAGAGGTAATGTACATAGGCTACTCTTAATAGCCGACTGTCAATGCATTGTTAGGGTAAATGCATTATGTCACGATTTATTTCCGTCACCGTCTCACTGCTTGTTTTAATAACAAGTCGTTTAGGAAGACCAGAACCATAGCCCACTAACATAGCATGATGTTTTTATCTAAAACATGTCCCATTGACCCATAAACCAATGATCCACACCCATCTCTTGGGATGGTATTTTAAAACCAGATTTGTCCCTGGAGATCATCAGTCCTCGTGCTTTTACCTTGCCAGACTAGCCGTACGATGCTCCGTCAGAGTGCTTCGCGGAGCCATGTGTCTTCCTATGTGGAAGGAGGAGGTGATAATAACAGAGGAGAGTAAAACTGGGGCGAGACTGTGGTGACTCAGCCCCCCAGTTGTTGTGTTGGAGGTTTGGGGAGTCTGGCGCACAGAGTTCCAGCCTAATTAAGTTGATTTGTTCCCAGCATCTGGCTCCCAGATGTCAGACGATATTCTTTAGCTCAGCTCCCTGCTGTTGAGCGGAGAGGAGTGGGACGGCAGGGACCGCAGACTGCTGACTTTTCTCAAGGCCCACCAGGGGTGGGACTACAGTAGGTGACTGATGCCTGCGGTGGCCAATCGGGGTCTGTTTGTCGCAAATTTTAGGGAATCTGATTGGTGTGTTTGTACAAGTGGTTTATAGCAGCATTATGCTGCATGTGCATACCAAGCAGTTTTCTCACACCTTATAAAATGCGTGTTTTCTGCAAAATAGACTTGATGTTTGGTGTGAACGATGAAGGTCTTGTTTTTACAGCTTTTGGTTATGACGGATACGACTGGTCTGAGGTCGATGACTGTGCTTGTGGATTAGTATTAGTGTTGCCAACCTCTACATAGAGTGGCGATGAGTAGTATTTTTGAGTCTGAATGATTAATTTGCCAATCAGTTCTTAAGTTGACATTTTTATTTGAATTTACTTTGCGACTGTTAAAAAAAGTATGTTCTATAGGATGGGTTGTATGAATGAAATTTGGACAGTAACAACTAGAGCTAGACCGATATATCGGTAGACCGATATTATCGGCCGATATTAGGCATTTTCCAAACTATTGGTATCGGCAGTTATAATGGCCGATAAATTAATATTTCAAAAATAAAATAAAAACGGACGAAACACGCTTGAACCATGTCATGAGTGTTGGAGTTGTATAGTTTGTCCACCAGAGGGCACTCTACACCGTTCCTGTTGGCAACACTCGTTGAGTTGGTCACGATACATACATTGCTTGAATAACAATTAAAAGAACATCCCCATCAGTTCCCTTGACTCAAATAAGCATGACAAAATTTGTGACTATCATGTCCAGTTTAAAAATAATAAATAAAATATCGGCCGATATATCGGATTTTAAAACCCAAAAATATTTGTATTGGTATCGGCCTTAAATCCTTTATCGGTCGGACTAGTAACAACATGGCGGATGTAGTTTGTCACGTGACCTACCGCTTCACTTTCATTCATAAATCCCCTACCGTGGCCTTATGGGATAGTCGAAGTGTCCATCGAATGCGTACGTCAGAATCTCGGTTGAAGTAGTAGTACTTTTCGCCTACTTTTTTTCAGACTATGTATTCGACATGCAACTGTTTTGGTACTGTTTTTCGCATACTATATAGTACTAGGGAAGTATTCGATTTCGGACGCAGCGCTTGAATTCTAACTGAGTTTAGTCCAAATTGTGAATTGAATCAACTGTTCATCACCTGTTCAAACTATTTTTTTTTTTCAACAAACCAGTTGATTTGATTCACAATCCAAAGCAGTTCATTCACAAATATATTTTTAAACTGACAACTCGCTGAATCATTTAGAGAATCAAATCAGCTGGTTTGTCGATGCTTCGTAATTGAAATAAATCTTTCTTTTCTTTTCTCGTCACAGTTCAGAGTGAACAAATCATTTTTGAATCGGTTAAGTTGACATCTTAACTCGCTGAATAATATTTGTCTAAATTGTGAAATTAATCAACGATCTTTCAGTTTGAAACAAAATTAAAATTGGTAAATAATAAAATAATTTATCTTTAAATACCCCTTTTATCTGATTGTCAAAGGCAAATCGGTTCTAAAAATGACTAAAATGATTGCCAATTCTGTAAATTCAAGGTTGATATTTAGGCACGGCTCACTGATCTCATTTCATTTATTTACTAAAACCGTTACTCTGGAATCTCATGTGAACCGTTTCCCTTATCTGTCCTCAGAAAGAACTGGATGCCACCGCCACAGCCCTGGCCAACAGACAGGATGAAAGCGAGCAGTCCAGGAAAAAACTCATCGACCAAAGCCGCGAGTTCAAGAAGAATACTCCAGAGGTGAGCGAAAGCGAGAAATGGAGTGAGAGATGATTCTCCAAATGATAGGAAGCTCAAAGGTAGTGGAGCGAAGGGAAATTTGAGTGCCTAATTTTCACATGTCTGGAGTGGCACATCCTGGTCTCCTGGGTACACGTGAAGCACCTTATTTCGGCATTTCATATCAGTTGACATTCTTCTGCTTGTATTCTACCTCCGTTTTTGCTGCTTTCATGGTTTTACATGTGCAGCCTGTAGTGTTGCAGTCTTGTTATTACAATTGTTCCACTTGAGATCTATAGCATGACCGTGGCTTTAGATTACTTTTCGGATTTTGCACTTGTCTGAAGCTCGGCATGGCCTCGTAAGAGAGGTCAGTGGCAGAGAAACCAGAAGGATATTATGGTTTATCCATTTAGGGAATACTCGGTCTGCATGAATAGCGGCGGACGGTCGTGTCCAGACCATAGGGTTGTCTGTGAGGTCATGTTCCAGAGGAAAAAGCGACGATGCATGTTAGCAAGACGGTAAGGATCAGTAATTCTTTATTTACTGAAAACCCTCTCTGATCTGATAGAGTTCTAACTGACAGTAGCAGAACATCACGACCATTGGATCAGGATGGCTATCAGACGTTTGTTCTGTTTAGAAACAGATTATTCTTAATGTGTGGATGTGATGTTTATAGACTCTGATTCTACCCTATAGTATTTACAGACTCAAAATCTTGAATCACATGGAGGGTTAGCTTTCTGTCAGGTAAATGCATGTGACATTCATGACGTTTAACTCATTTATTGATTTTGACTCTTTTATTCTGAAAATGATTTGTAAAATAAATGGAAAACCAAAGGAGTCTGTCCTTTTTTATGGCAGAAAAATCTGAAAATAGTGTATATATATATATATATATATATGTATAGAAATATATTTTGTTATTTAGCCGTATGCGATTTTATTAATACATTAATTTAGTTTTATAAAATTGTATTATTTATATTATTACTACTACTAATAATAATTGTAATGAAACAATATGTGATATAATAAATGTAAAAAAAATCATACAATGTATAAAAATTAAGGCCGGGCAACGATTAATCGCATCCAAAATAAAAGTTTCTGTTTACAAAATATATGTGTATGTAGTGTGTATAATTATTTTGTTTATATAAATACACATGCATGCATGTATATATTTCAGAAATTTTTGCATGTACATACTTGATATATATTTTTACATGATTTATATTAAATATAAATGTTTTATACATATTAATAACACATTTTTCTTAAATATATACTTTTACTTTTATTTTGGATGCCGATTAATTGTTGCCCAGCCCTAATAAAAATACAGTAATGTATACAAATGTTACATTAAATTCTGCTATACAGTAAATAATTGCAATTTAGTGAGTCTATTGACCATTTGTTCTTTTTTCTGAGGCTGTTTATTTATGCATTTGCAGTTTATTTGTCTCAAATTTAGTATTCTACTGAAGACAACACTTTTGTATCGGATCAGGATGTAGTAATTGCGTCGTTCAGTCATAATGAACGTAAAGAAAGTAGAGAAAGAGATCTGTCAGAAGACTTCTAAAGTTCAAAATAACCTTGGGCTTTTCTTTTAGTCTTTGATTAATAATATCCTTATCAGCCTAAGTGTGCTTTTGTAAAGATTTCAGACAGGTGCCTCCAATCTTCAAAACGGCAAATCCGTATAATTCCTTACTGTATTTGGTTTTGAGAAGTCTGTGCCAGCCCATCTGGGGTGTCGAGAACTCAAGGGCACCGCGGCGCTCCGGCCTGCTCTATCTTTGATCATGGTTGCCGTCGCCTCCTGCCCTCCTCCCTCTCGCTCCCTCTTTCCTGCCTCTCGTTTTGCGAATTCCTCGCGAGTTACCACTCCCAGAGAGTGCCGATGAATAAATGGAAAATAAAAAACCTGTTTTGTCTCCGGAGCCTCAATAAATCAGTCCCCCTTTTCCATTTAAAATGTCCAGGGCTGCAATTTATGTCTGAGCTTAATAACCCGTTACTAAATTAATCGTGCTGGGGGTTTTGGCTGGGAGGCCACGCGTACGGAGTTTCTGTGAACCCTGTAAAAGAAAAAAAAAAAAAGTCCATCTGAGTGCTTTTCTGCCCGGTACCCAAGGTGCAAGACATCAAGCGCCTCAGTCAGAGAGGTGGAAACTCTATCTCTGATGAGGGAAGTTGGAAAGTTACCTTAATGGCTGGACTGCTGGATGTGGAATTAATGTGCCATGGCTACCTCGCTGTACCGTTTCTTCTGACACGAGGCAAGCCGTAATCTAACCTAGATGGGACTTTGTCGTATCAGCTGTTTTTGAATGTTTGTGCTTGATTTACTCAGACATTTGCATCAGGTTTCACCAGTTAAGGGAACAGATCACCTCAAAAATCATGTGATTGTCATTCCAAACTTTCTTCTGTGAAACTCAAAAATGTATTTTTTTTTCTGAATATGCTTGCTAGCTTTATAATGCAGAATTATAAAAAAAGTGGTCCAAAACTAACTTTAGATTTTGCTCAAATATTGATGCATGACTTTCATGACGTTAATCAAATCCAAATAGGATGTATGACAAAAGCAAAGTAACATGCTTTTAATATAGCACAATTTAGTGAGAAATTGTCTCACTAAATTAAAAATAAAGCCCCAAGGGAAATTTCCGCGTGGACCGGAAGTTCTTCTGAATGAGAAAAATGGAGGGTGAGATGGAAGGCCATTCCACAGGGGAAGAACATTTTCAGATATTGATTAAAGGGGTCATGAAATGGCTTTTTAAATTTTGTTATATTGTTGTCTGAGGTCAACTTATGACGTTTGCTTGGGTTTTACATGAAAAAACATCAAAATTAATAAGTAAAAGGCTATTTTCTGCCCTAGTTTTGAGCTTAGCTCAAAAACGCTCAGTTTTTATGGGCGTCTCGCACTGAAGACTTGATATCACGCCCACTGCTGTGAGTGGATAACAGTTTTGCATATTATAATGAGTTTCACTCTCGACCCGGTTTGTCATCACGAGGTAGGCCTATGTTATTTGGCTATGCATGTAATGCGCGAATCGGTGGGCGGGGCTAAACCGGACGTGTTGAAGTAGGCGTTGATCTTCTTCTGCGGGGGTGGTGTCTTATCCTCTTTGATGTCATAGTTCCCCACTTTTAAAAACGAGTCGTTTGCAGAGGCTGGTGTCAATAAAAGCTTTTATTGGACTAACAAGGACGTTTTCAGTTCTGAAACTTACAGGATATAGATGACCTCTTAGATGTCAAAAGCTCAAGGAAAATTTGAATTCTCAGTTCATCACCCCTTTAAAGATTACGAAGACAAACCAAAAAGTGGATCAACTTGTATGGATTGTTTATCATAAGACTAGAAATGTGTGCTAACAGACCTCAGACTTCAGTGGGGTATCAAACAGTTCAAGGTCCAAATGAGAGTGTCAGTGCAGCTTCAACAGGCTTTAAACAACACCAGACGATACCCAAGGGTCTTATCTAGCGAAACGATAAAAATAAATAAAAAACTTTACGTTTTATAAGCACAAATGGTCACCTTGCTCTGTTCTGTGATACGAGTTCGTGACTCTCCTGTTCGAACTCGTTCATCAAAATGAACGAATCTTTTTTTCGAGTCATTTGGTTCATTCAATGAACAAAATGACTCGAAAAAGCCCATTTTATGGAAATATTATTAATGTGTTTTGTTTCTTTTGGTTTTGTTAGTCACACATCGCTCTAAAGGCTTCAGAAGACTAACTAACGTTTTGTAACATTTTATAATAGATATTTATGGTGCTTTTGTGTACGTTTTGAATCTCTAGTCCCTATTCATTTTAAATGCACAGAAAAGAGTGACCAGTGTGTTAAATAAAATGTCTTTTGTGCTCCACTGAAGAGAGGAAAGCCATACAGGTTAGGAATGACATGAGGAAATAATGGCACTTTTTGCACATTTGGATAAATAAACTCTTTAAAGTTTTCAGAACTTGTCTGTATATATTTAGTCTGATGAATTGGCATTTTTGTTTCTCTGTTTCTCCATATCCTTTTCCATTTTCAGTCTACTAATGTTCCACCGCAGTTGTGTAATTGTTATTGACTAGTTATTTATGTAGCTCCTTCATGGTTCTGGTTCGCCTCAGGATGCTGGTTGAAAAGTTTATTGTCCGCTATTTGATGTCAATGTGACAGATAGGGATTTGTTGGGATGACCCGTTATTTTCCAAGCGATTACGTAACGTCTGTGTTCTGCTCGGCGTGCACCTGTGAAATAAATAATCCTAAGCAGCCGTTAAATTTGCCACAGATCACTTCATTTAGACTTTTTTTCGAATGCGCACATATTTAAACCAAACGACCGCAGCATTTGGTCCTATTTTCGTTTAGCTTTCGCATGCTCATTTAGATGAAGTTTTAAATAGGATGTGATGGAGACTGAAAGAGACCAGTGTGTCGGCGCTGAAATTATATTCAGAGCTGCCTGCATGATGGAAATATTTTCATAAGGTCATGTGCATTCCCTCCCCTCTAGCTCACATATTTTGAGTTTATGCATTAGACACCATTGATAAAAATCACATTTTTTGCATTTCTGCTGATAGTGTTGCACCACATGCAAACACCATAACTTGAAGAGCGCATTTAAACTTTACGCTGAGCGTTTGATGGTCAATAAACCACACAGATGTTAAAAGCAGTGCTCTTTCTATATACACTCTTTAAAGTGAACGTATAAGGTCTTCTAACATATTTTACTTCTGTAATGTGGCATATTTTTTTTAAGTTACAAAAATGTAAGGGCTTGAAAATGAAGACTGTTTGGTGACTTCAGATTGATGGAAAGTCGCAAAGAAATTACTTTTCTTTTTTTGTTTACTACCTTTGTGCAGTGATGAGACATTCATAGTATCTGAAATGTGTATTAAGAATTGAAATATGGTCATTTTGATAGCATATAGTGACCTTATTTCATGTTGGACGGCCTTGTGTGC